ACGATATGGATGCATCCTTAAAGCCAAGGAAAGCATTGCTATTTTCTCCTGCAATCTTAGAATGGATGACTCTCCTTAAGGTGAAAACTTGTAGGCTTCCCCAAATATACTGTATTTTTGCTCTATAGGACACACTTTTTCCCCTCCAAAAATTAAGGGGAAATGTGCGTGCAGGCTGCGCAGTTAAGCCCAAAGCCAGAACAGGGAGACAGAGAGTTTCGTCTCACTGTTCTAGCTTGGGGATGGCTGCGCGCAAAGCCTCTGCAGGGCAGATGGGGGCCTTCACCCCGCTGCCCTGCGGAGGCTACAAAGGCTGTCCCCGAAGCCAGAACAGCAAGACAGTCTTGCTGTTCTAGCTTGAGGATGGTAGCCGCCCGAAGCCTCCAGAGCACAGCGGGAACTCCCGCTGCACTCTGGAGGCTTTGGGTGAATGCACCTTGAACGCACCTTGCTTTAGAGGGGGAGAACAAGAAAAAAAAAAATTTCCCTGTTCTCCCCCTCCTATGGTCCAGTCGTCCTATGGGCCGGTGCGTCCTATAGAGCGAAAAATACGGTAATATGCTATCTTCCACGTTCTCACTCAAACTTGGACACAGAGAAACTCACAAAAGGGCAGAGCTTCATTATAAAAAATGGTCACCACTTGTGAGCTTTGTGGAAGAGGCAGGCTACAAAGTCTTAATATATTGTTGTCACAAAAGAGCTTTGAGCCGTTACCATATTCTTTCAGCTGGTCTCCCATGTCTTTAAATTTCACCCTTTCCTGAAAACAGCCTTTAGACATTTCTGATGCTTCTTAACAGATTATTTTGTTTAAATAATAGAGGAAGCCCAACTTTAGCCCTGACCAACAAGGGAAGGCTAAAGCAATGTAAATTACTGTATAAATTTCATTCCAGTAAACACCACACTATTGAATATTTAATAGGGAAATTTCTTCTGAATTAATGCTCCACATTCAGGAAAGCAACTTACCTTTTCTTCTTTTCTTTTTAAAGGAGGGAGAGAGAGAAAATCACAGCATTATGTTTGTTTAAACCTAAAGACACCAAAATTAATATTTCATGGTAATGAAAACAAAGCATCACGAAAATCATGTTTTAAAAAGACTGATCCCAGTTCCCAATGCACAAAGCAGCAGGTCTACTCCCAGGCCCGCATTGTTGTTTCAAGAGAAACTAGGAGGAATGTAGAACAACTGGCATCAAACCCCCTATACCGTGTTAGCGGTCCGCAAATAGGGCGACTATTTTCCTCTGTTTTGGGGGCTTAGCTTGGGGAACTCAAGCTTTGCAACATGCAGTGGTGTTTCCAGATCTGGGGTCGCCCAGGCAATACAGTGGTACCTCCCGCTGCCACCGCCATGTGATTTCAGTTCTCATCCTGAAGCAAAGTTCTTAACCTGAGGTACTATTTCTGGGTTAGCGGAGTCTGTAACCTGAAGCGTCTGTAACCTGAAGCACATTCAAAGTGTTGGTGCTGACCTTTAAAGCCCTAAATGGCCTTGACCCAGTATACTTGAAGGAGCGTCTCCACGCCCATTGTTCAGCACGGACACTGAGGTCTCCTCCAAGAGTCTTCTGCATGGTTCCCTCACTGCGAGAAGCTAAGTTACAGGAAACCAGGCAGAGGGCCTTCTCGGTAGTGGCACCCACCCTGTGGAACACCCTCCCTTCAGATGTCAAAGAGATAAAGAACCACATAACTTTTAGAAGACATCTGAAGGCAGCCCTGTATCAGGAAGTTTTTAAAGTTTTGTTGATTTATTATGTTTTGTTATATGCTGTAAGCTGCCCAGAGTGGCTTAGGAAACCCAGCCAGATGGGTGGGCTAATATTACTACTACTACTACTACTACTACTACTACCACCTCTGAAATGTGTTAAGTGCATGCAAAACACGGAAGCAATTTCATGTGATCTGTTGACCAGGTAACATTCGCAGTTAGCGCAGCAAAATGCCAGGATATTAAACCTGCAAGCAATCTTCTTCTCTAATAAGTTGAAGGCTTGGTTATTTTTAGAGTTTTGCAGACTTACTCCTAACTGAGATCCACTTTAAGTGCAGGAAAATTGGTTTCATCCCCCCCCCCTTCCATCCATTAATAACAATTAAGTTTTAAAATAAATCCCTGCACATATCATTAAATTACACTTAAGTTACTTGGAATTGACAATTAACTCAGCATGCTAATACATTATCATAATGTCATGATGACTTTGTCTCTCCTTTAAAAAAAAATGGAGGGGGGAAAGGATATATTTGTGGAAAGCTTGTATTGACACATTTTCTTACTCAGTTGTTGGTGCTTTTCGTCACCACACCTTGGCAAAAGTTTGCATGATGGAAACAGAATTTGAGTTTGCTTGGAGTTTTTGACATCAGTTCTGATGAAAGCCCTTGGACCTGGAGGCTTAAAAAGAAAGAAGGGGGTGGGGGTAGGAATCAAACTTAAACCTCCGACTTTGTTAGTTTATCTCTTCTAGCACCAGCGAAGAGCCACAGATTTATTGTGGCGTGATCAGTGCGCGAGTGATGTGTTGTGTCTTTAAAGGGCTTGTTGTTGAGGTGGCGGTGATGGGCGTCACTGCAGAACGGCCACTGCCACTCTCCCATAAAACATGAAGGGAATGTGGGGGAAATCTTCAAATTGAGGCTTCAAGGGCCCTCCAAACTCTCGAGAATGTGTAGATCCAATATTTCAGGCGTGATGAGAGCTCTGCGAAATATGCCACTTGAAAGCAGAACGTTGGGGAAAGGAACGCTCCATCATCACTCCTCAGAATTGTAAGAAAACATAGTAGCAATTGAAGAGGTCGGAACCTCTTTGTGTGCTCAAAATGCAGATAAAGAGTTAACGGTGGAGCCTCGCTTGAGCCGCACTTTACTCCTCCCTCCTGCCTTCCCTTCCCACACTGACCAATGAATGCCGGCTTGTCGGGCCAAATTTAAATGTTACTATGACAATGATCGCTTTTCCTCTCCCCCCCCCCGCTCCCAAATTCCCGTGCAGCCAATGGAAGCTGACCTTCCCCTGTCAAAGCATGTCAGTAACAATGCAAGCACCACTAGCCCTGTAAAGAGCAGGGAGGGGGGAGGGAAAGGGGGACTTGGAGACTTTTTATCTAAGGCATTTCATTGGATTACCATATATTGAGTTGTTAGAGCTGTAGTTAAAATAGCGGTGGACTTACGGATCTTTCCAAGAACCTGCAATCACAGAGCCAGCTGTGCTCTGAGCAAATGCCAGGGGGAAAACAGAAGAATAATGCAATATGGTCTATGCTAGATAGCAAGTTGACTGATGGATTGATTTAGTAGTTCTTTATTGTACTTGATAGGTGTAAACTGATTATTATTTGGTGATATTTAATTTTACTGTTTACTATTAGATTCTAATGCATTGCTGAATATTGCTTTAGTTGATATAAATTATTTATCTTAAAGTTATTGGGACTTTTTTTGTATTGGGTCAGATTGTTATTATCAACATTTGACAGTTTATTATGTTTTCATATGTTTTGGAAGCCGCCCAGAGTGGCGGGGTATAAATAAAAACTAGAAGAAGAAGAAGAAGAGTTTGGATTTGATATCCCGCCTTTCACTCCCTTTAAGGAGTCTCAAAGCGGCTAACATTCTCCTTTCCCTTCCTCCCCCACAACAAACACTCTGTGAGGTGAGTGGGGCTGAGAGACTTCAGAGAAGTGTGACTAGCCCAAGGTCACCCAGCAGCTGCATGTGGAGGAGCGGAGACTCAAACCCGGTTCCCCAGATTACGAGACTACCACTCTTAACCACTACACCACACTGGCTCTCAACTACTACTTCTTCTTCTTCTTCTTCTTCTGCTTCTGCATCTGCTTCTGCTTCTTCTGCTTCTTCTTCTTCCACCACCACCACCAATGCATGCTAAGGTTACATCTGCACCATATATTTAAAACAGTATGGTGCCGGTATAAACAGTAATTACTCCCCCCAAAGGATTCTGGGAGCTGTAGTTTGTCAAGGGTGCTGAGCATAGCTTTTCTTGTGAGGAATCCTATTTGGAATAAGGGAATTTCCCTTTTAGAAAGGGAAATTGACAGCTATGGTGCTGAGAGTTTTTAGGAGACCCATATTCCACTCACAGAGCTTATATCAGGTCAGAGAATTTATCTATCTAGTTCTGTATTGTTTACTCTGATTGTCAGAAGTTCTCCAGGGTTTGAACCAGATAACCTGGTTTGTGAGATCCATCTTAACTTGAAATGGCAGCGATCGAATATAGGACCCTTTGCCTGCAAAATACGCACTCTAGCCATTTTTTAAATTCAAGCCTAAACTAATAGAATCAAATTTATTGATGTTCTAATTTTGTCTATATAGTTGCCTTGTACTCTGCCAACTCTGAATATCAGCATGAATAAAAACAAATCAGAATACGCATTGTTTTCTTTCAAAAGGATTAAAGAAAAAGTAATTAAGCCATTTAAATTATTTTCCTCAAATGTAAATACTACGCTCATCTCAAATCACAACAAGGTTAATATTAAATAAGCCAGACATATGTATGTATATGTATGTCAGCTCTACAGTTAATCTCTAAATTGAATCAACCATTCTACCAGATAACATCAAGTCAAAGGAGGCTTTTCTATATAAATGAAGAACCAATCTGATCATTTTGCCAGGATGAATGTTTGCACTCTACATACCAAATGCTTGCCTTTCATTTTCGCCTAATGAAAACAAACTGTTTTTGTCTGTCCTATCAGACTTGGCTTCTACTTATCACACCAGGGCACTTCAGTTTGGTTTGCTGTTTTGTTTTCAAGAGGTTTGCTGGCCGGGCCAAGGCAGAGTTAAGCAGGAAGACAAAGAGCAGAAATCTAACACTTGAGGGAAGGCCCATGCCTCAGTGGTGGAGCCTTTGGTTTCTGTGCAGAAGACCCCAAGATCACAGAATCACAGAGCTGTAGAGTTGGAAGGGACCACGAGGATCATCTAATGTAGGGATATTTTGCCCAACATGGGGCTCGAACCCACAAACTTGAGATTAAGAGCCTCATGCTCTACCGACTGAGCTAGCTCAACTAGACTAGATAGGCCAAGTTCAATTCACCAGGTAGGGCTGGGAGAGCACCCTGTCTGAAGTCATGGAGAACTGCTGCTTCCAGTCAGCATGTTGTTGTTGTTGTTTAGTCATTTAGTTGTTTAGTCGTGTCCGACTCTTTGTGACCCCATGGACCAGAGCGCGCCAGGCACTCCTGTCTTCCATGGCCTCCCACAGTTTGGTCAAACTCATGCTGGTAGCTTCGAGAACACTGTCCAACCATTGTCCTCCGTCGTCCCCTTCTCCTTGTGCCCTCCATCTTTCCCAACATCAGGGTCTTTTCCAGGGAGTCTTCTCTTCTCATGAGGTGGCCAAAGTATTGGCGTCTCAGGTTCAGGATCTGTCCTTCCAGTGAGCACTCAGGGCTGATTTCCTTCAGAATGGATCGGTTTGATCTTCTTGCAGCCCATGGGACTCTCAAGAGTCTCCTCCAGACCATAATTCAAAAGCATCAATTCTTCGGCGATCAGCCTTCTTTATGGTCCAGCTCTCACTTCCATACATCACTACTGGGAAAACCAGAGCTTTAACTTTCTAATTAACTCCAGTCAGCATAGACAACACTTAAGCCAGATGGAGCAACAGTCGTGACTTCCTCTGTTCTATGCTCCTGTGTCTGAAATCCTGGAGATTTGATATTGGAAGCTGCCTTATACCAAGTCAGACCACTGGCCCATCCAGGTGATTATTGCATACAGTGACTGGCAAGTGGCTGTCTCCAGGGTTCCACACACATGGCTTTCCTGGCCCTACCTGGAGATGGTGGAAAAGGAGCCTGGGATCTTCAACATGCAAAGCAGAAGCCCGACCACTGAGCTATGGCTGTTCCTAACCCGGTACCAGTCGGGGAGCTATTAGATATGGACCAATGGTCTGACTGAGATTCCCAGGGTAGTTTAATTGTCAGTCTCTCTTCCCAGGAAAACCTGAGAATTGTAGCTCTGTGAGGGGAGTAGTGGGGTCTCCAAACAGCTCCTACCACCCCATACACTCCAACAATTCTCCGATGAAAATAGGGATATCCTATTCATCACCATCATCAACATCATCATCATTATTATTCCTACCCAGCCCATCTGACTGGGTTGCCCCAGTCAGTCTGGGCAGCTTCCAATATATAAAAATTAGAATAAAACTTCATACATTTTTTTAAAAAATCCTGTACCGGGCTGCCTTCAGATGTATTCTAAAGGTTGTATAGTTACTTATCTGATTGGCTTAGGGGGTGGCATAACTCCAGGTATAGGGCGGCATATAAATTCAAAAAATAAAATAAAAAATGCTCTCCAACATTTCTCCAATGGAAATAGGGACCTCCTACCACACCCTCCAACATTTCTCTGATTAAAATAAAGGTGTTCTAAGGAAAAGTGGGGCATTCAGGGACCAAATCAGAAACCAGGATGATTTCTGTAAACCTGGGGCTCTCCTTGGAAAATAGGGACACTTGGAGGGTCCACAACTACAGTTCCCATGATTATTTGGGGGAAACCATGACTCTATGATACTGCTTAAATGTGCAGTGCAGATGGGGCCATTGAGGCAACTGGACTTGTGGTTAGTGTAGACCTTGATGCTGGGAAACAGTCTGATCTTTTGTGTGTGTGTTGGAGTCCACATTCCATCCTTTACGAGTGAATATTCTTGCAGTGGCTCTTCTGACCGTTGACCTGGAAGCCATTTAACCCCAGGCGAGGTTTACCCTCCATTCGCTCCGTGCTCCACTCTTGATTACTACCGACGCTGATGTGAAACACCAACTCGTTTAAAGATTCTGATTGAGTATGGAGGGCCTAGGTAAATGTAATGTATTGAATGTGCGTAAAACAATTATGAGTCTTATTAGCAAAATTAGCGTGAGCAAATTTACCAGAAAGAAACTGTTGCTGTTTAGCTCTCTAATTACATGTCACTATTCTTTGAGCCTAGAAGACTTAATGAAAGTAATTTCATTTACTCATTTTGCAGAGAGAGGCAGAGAGAGAGAGAGAGAGAGAGAGAGAGAGAGAGAGAGAGAGAAGTTTCTGGGAGTTGCTGAATAATCAGGCATTATCCAGTTGTCTTATGTTACTGAGTCAACCGAGGCCAAATGGTCCGAAGACCTTTTGGAGAGAATGTAAACTGTGTTCCAGAAAGAACATTTATGCTTCCTTGGTAGGCGTAAAACCCATTAATGCAAAGAGAAAGGAGTGTCGCAGCAAGGCTGTGGGTGCAATTCACCAGGAGAATCTTTACCAGGAGCTTTTCCTGTTGCAGCCCCTCAACTTTGGAATCCTATATCCTGATAGCAAGGTCATTCTCAGAGGACAAATCCTTACATGTAATGAAAAGGACACCATGGTGCAATCTATAAGAAGACATGGCTGGTTGATGTCTGAACAGGAACACTCTACCCTGTGACATGTTGTTGGAGGTTCCACATGCTCCTTCCTAATAAAGTGCTGGTGGGAGGTCTGACTTCCAAACATTGATAAACAGTGGCCTGTTGTTACTATCAATGCTACCACTATCTCCCACAACAGGCCCATGTGCGCGCGCACACACACATGCAGCACACAGACCAGTTTTGGGACTCTTTCTAGTGTTTTAGGATGTTTGCTTATCCATACTTTTGTGCTTTTTTAAAAAAGCAGTGAATGCCATTTGAAGCCTTCTTCCTTTTCTCAGCCATGACTTGCTGTTGAAGAATACTTTCTTCTTCTTAACATTTCCCCTAGGAGTGAAATTGCCTAGACCCCAAGCTGTTTCTTATCTGGTCTAGTCCATTTCATTGCTTGTTTTTTTCCGGCCACGTGCATGCAGAAGGCCCCATCTTCAGTCTGTGACTTCTCCGGTGAGGGCTGGAAATCTCTCCTTTCTGAAATCCTGGAAAGTAACCAACAGTCAGTATAGATAAGGCTGAGCTCAATAATCCAATAAACTGACTCGCTATAAGGCAGCTTCCTGTGATCATGTTTCTTAAAGTGCACCCAAACACCTTGTTCCTGCTGAAACGGACCAACATGTTTATACCTCTGGAAGGTCTCGGCAAACCAGGAGGTTTTCCCACTTATATTATTCTTGAGGCTTGGCTTGAGGAGCTTTTTAAAACAGCTGGACTGGGATGCACAGATTCCCGCATTGCAGGGAGTTGGACTTGATGGCCCAATGGGGTCTCTCCAACTCTACAATTCAGTGATGCATTTTGGAAAATATGAGTTGTGAATATCAGGAATTTTAGCACATTTGAGTTAGCAGTCCCTTGAAATAAAACTCTTAGCTCAGCGGGACATAAGCCTCTTTTGTAGTAGTGAATTCATTTGACTAAAAGATTATCTCATTGACTTTGTTATCTCTTTCTCACAAAGAGCACATCTTTTCTAAATGGGATTAGAAGCATCCTGCAGAACCTGCCCCAAAGTTGACCTAACTGTTTTCTACCTTTTCCTCAGAATATTCTGCCAGCAAAGATTTTTTAAATTCCATCCTGCACAGAGAACCAGAACCAGGGACCTTATGGGTCAAAGCACTGATTTTCTGTCTCCTATGATGTTTGGCTTGGAATCAGTTGCCAGCTAAAATTAGACAAACCAGTTAGGCGAAAAGCTTCTTGCAGACTGATCTTGCAGCTAGAGAGCATTGAATGTAAATAGTCTGTAGCAGCATGACAATTTCTGTTTCCTGTAATAACATTGTTATGTTGCCTTCCTGGTGTTCTGTGTATCCAGGTTTTAGCTGCCAGTCTTTGCCCGGACTCTGGCCCAGGTGATTGATACCTTGTATTTTTCAGAAGCATGTATTAGGTGAAGCTCCACCACCAGGTGTAACGTCATGGCTACTAGAGGAACTATGAGGAATGTGGAATGGTCAAGGCTGGGTTCAGGAGCATGTGACCTAGACACCTATCTAGGAAGGCATGCTTGCGTAAGGGTGATGAAAGTTGTGTTAGGGGATGAAAGTTAATTTCTGGACATTTCTTTAGTGAGCAGTCTTAAAAGTGTGGTTTTGGTTGTGACAGGGCCAGATTTAGGTTTGATGAGGCCCTAAGCTACTGAAGGTAATGGGGCCCTTTATATGTCCAGCTGTCCTTTGTCAACAACAAATTGTCAGTGTTTCTTTTGTGTTGAATATATGCTATATGGTAATTTATGGACCTAATAGGTATCTAAAGCCATTTTATGTGTTCTTTTATCTTATATTTTGGAAATGTACGTCCAGGTTTTTTTCTTTACTTTTTTTGAGGGGCCCCCAAGAGAGTGGGGCCCTAAGCTCTGGCTTGTTTAGCTTATATGTAAATCCAGCACTGGTTGTGAGGAGTTCAAATCTGCTATTATTTTTGTGGTTGGGCAACATTTAGCTTGGTAAATATACTTTAGATTAAAAAGCACACAAACTGCTCTGAGAAAAGCAAAGAATTCTAATTTTACCTTCTGAAAATGTCAGGTAATGCTGTCAGACTTTTAGTTTCCCTGGGATTACTAGGCTTGTAGGGTGTCTGAAGAGTGGGACCAAATTGTTGAACAAATGGTTGATACTCGCTTTTGAAGCTTGTCATAGGAAACTAGCTCTCCTTGGGAGAATCCCCAGTAGAGCTCTGCACTGCCAGCAACCCTGAAGAGCTGTTGGATCATGGAAACCAGCACAGGGATGTTGGGAGTGGAGCTGTCCTATGCCCCTACCCAGTTTGAGCCTTCACATGTTCTTCTGAGCACCAAGGGAGTCTCGTTTTCAAGGCTCACCCAGAGAACACATATTCTGACCCAGGACTTTTGCCACATCTTCATGATCTGCAGATGTGCCACACAGAGTGTTGCATACGATATGAAAGGAAATTTAAGCCATCTCTTAAGCAAATAGCACACTGATCTTTAGAGCTAGAAGAGGAAGCCCATGCTTTGTTAAACAATGGTATTCAAACAGCTAGTGCAGAAAATCTTATCCTATCCAAAGACTTGTAATAGAATTATGAATCAAAAGACTAAACAATGCAGTATTTATTTGGGCCGC